GAGTTCAAGTGGGATTAACATGAATGGCAATAATGGTTTTTTCGTTTTTTGTGGGAAAGGGATAGAAGATGCATATCATGTTTTTGTGCAGTATTCATTTACTTATAATTGTGTGGATGAAGATCTTAGCTTGGTAGGCATTCATGTGAAACTGGGTTCCATGAGAAACTCAAAACTTGGGTTCCGCGAGTAACCCAAGAGGATGAGGATGAGGATGGTGAAGATGATATCGGGAAAGAAGAAAATGAAGAAATTAAAATTAATTATGATTTAATTATAACACATTATAAAAAAAAAAATCCACATTGGATTAATAAATGTGACATATGTCCTGGGTTCCTCATGGAACAGGAACCTAAGAGGATGAAGAGGAAAATGGTAAAGATGATGTCGAGAAACAAGAAAATGAAGAAATTAAAATTAATTATGATTTAATTATGCCACATCATCAAAAACAAAAGTCCACATTGGATTAATATGCTGACATAACGTTCATGCTACTATTTGATGCCATGTATTACAAATTTTAATGGTTATTAACGTTTCCATGACGGCACATTAAAATATTAGGTTTTTCACGGGTTTTGAAAAGTTAAGGGTGTGAATAGGGAGGAAAAATTTTGGAAGGTGTTGACCACGAAAAAAAATTAAATGGAGAGTGCAAATAGGGGGTTTGGCCAAAACTATACTACGGGATTGGTTTGAATCAATCCCAGAACTCTAGACAAGGAGGACATGATTTAATTCTAATCGTAGAGAAAGATTAGAATCCTTGAATTAGCTTTCCTTAAATAATGGTTTTAAATCATCATCAAAATACAAAGAGAACCTAACAATCTCCCCCTTTTTTATGATGACAGAACCATGCCTTAAAATAATAAAGATAATAAATGTAAACTCCCCCTCAAAATTTGCTTCCAAGTTTCAATAGGAAATGCACAAACAAATAATAAAGATAATTTTCATTTAAGTTCCTCTCCCCCTTTTTGTCATTAGCAAAAAGAAACATATAAATCAGCATAGCATAGAGTTCAAACATACAAATTAGCAAAATTCAGTAGACAAAACACAAAAGGCTGTTGAAGAATTTTCAACATATTTTCAGGATTTGGGTTTGAATCACAAAAAGTTGATTCGAAGCAATTGCACAGAATGCATTTGAAAAAGTGTAACTTTGGCTCGAATCATATAATTATGATTTGAACCATTTACGTAAAACTAGAATCCAAAAAGTTACGATTTTGGTTTGAATCATATAAATGTGATTCGAACCATTTACATAAAAAATCAGAGATAGAATTTTGATAAGTTTATGAAGAGAGTGGATAACTTTGGAAGGCAAAGAAACAAGTGAATTGGAATTCAAATCAAACCAAATGACTTTTGGAAGAGGTTTCAATGGATAAAATTGAAAAGGAGTGCCTATTCCCAACAGACATCTTGCCTCTATAAAAATGGAGTAATCTCTTCTTTAAGAGAGTCTTTGAACCCAGAAATATCTAAATAAAATAACTCCTTCTTATATTGTGATTGCTCTAGAAATCACTATACAAAAACTATTGTTTTGTCACTTTCCAAAGGATGGTTCAGTAGTTGATCTTGCTAGTGCAAAGGCTAGATCAACAAGGCGCTTCATTGTATCCTATGGGCATTTCGGGTTACCCTTTTTGCATACCAGATTTGGTGGGGGCAAAATTAGCCCAAAGGAAAATGGTATTTGTAGCACGCCTTGAAGCCAATAATCTAATGATCTATTTTCTAACCCCTTATTTCTCCAACAATCTTTATGCAAATGGTGATTCATCAACCATCAAAATGGTGATCAATCATAGATGAGGCGATAGTTGCTGGACGTTTCACAATAAAGCAAAGGAAATCTATTTTCATGAAAGATCAAACAATGGAGACATGATTCTAATTTTTAAAGCCATTTTAATAATTGGTTGGGAGCTCTTGCAATTAAAGCATGTTTCAATTTCAAACTCTGTTTCTCTGTCTTTCTCACTCAAGTCCGTTCAGTGGTGCTGCCAAATCTAATTTTTAAAACCCTTTTAATAATTGGTTCGGAGCTCTTGCAATCAAAGCCTATTTTGCCCTTCAAAGCCACCTCACAATTGCTCCAATCAAATTCCACTCTTTTTCTACTTCCTATAACAGATTATGACTTGACTTGGAATGTGTTTATTCATTTAGATCCTTTTAAGGCCCATTAAGACAAAACAGATAATTGAATAGCCAAAGGTGTACCTTCCATAATTTTTGCTTCAAAGCTAGAAATATTGATTTGAACTGTTTTCGAAAAAACTAAACTACGGGATTGGTTAATAATTGGTTGGGAGCTCTTGCAATTAAAGCCTATTTTGCCTTTCAAAGCCACCTCACAATTGCTCCAATCAAATTCCACCCTTTTTCTACTTCCTATAACAGACTCTGACTTGTCTTGGAATGTGCTTATTCATTTAGATCCTTTTAAGGCTCATTAAGACAAAACAGATAATTGAACAGCCAAAGGTGTATCTTCCAGAATTTTTGCTTCAAAGCTAGAAATATTGATTCGAACTGTTTTCGGAAAAACTAAACTACGGGATTGGTTCAAATCAATTGGAATTAATTTGAACCTAGAACTCTAGACAAGGAGGACATGATTTAATTCTAATTATGGGGAAAGATTAGGATCCTTGAATTAGTTTTCCTGCACACTTAGCACAAAAATAGGTTAAACTCTTTAAATCATGGTTTTAAATCATCATCAAAATACAAAGATAACCTAACAGATTGGAATCACAATCATGGTAAATTTTATTATAATTAGTAGATGGACAAATATAGAAACAGAAATGCTTCAAAATACTGTGAATTTGTAATCATATTATTAATGATTAATGCTTCAAAATATAAAAACTATGCTTAAATTGGGACAAAAATTGAGTAGAAAGACAGCACTTAATTATCACCTTTCAAATTTCAATTCAGTAAGAAAGAATGAAATATTTACAAATTTCTAATTTTCAATAGTATTTTGCAAACTTCTTTTATTTTTATTTTTTTCACTCATCAGTAAATATACTTCTTTTCTTGTTGGATTATGGGGTAAATACATGTTTGCCATTGTAGCAAACAAGTGAAAAAATCTCCCTAGTTAGCTCTAAGTAACTTGAATATTTACACAAAATTCCAACGTTATTTGCACACTTCCAAATACAGAGTGTACCCAGACCATGTGCTTTAAAGCCTGGGGCGGAGAAAATCAACTCTTTAGTCGTGTTAACTTGAAAATTATGTACTTCTTTAAGTGGCTGGGACCTTTTCAAGATGGATGACCGTTTCTTCTTCAATCATTTTCTCAAACAAGAGTCACTTCCATCCACAAAAATCCCCTTCCTACCTGCTGCTCCCCTTTTCCCTTAACTGTTCTTGGGGAGAATCATTCTCAACATCCACACTTGCAATGAGACATTATCCTCTCTATAGTACGACTGCTCAATTCTGATTAATAGAACTCTCGAATATTGATGAGATAATGACTCATCTAAAAGTGGTTTAGTGCTATTGGGAAAAATGGTGCAGTGGAGTGAATAGTTCCTAATAACCGGATTACCACAT